TCGGGTTTAAGGTTTTTAGTATCCTATAACCAAAGATGAGTATGAAGGTTGGAGTTTGTATTATAGACCTAAGGGGACGACAGATTAGCTGGCGGTTGTTTCTTATTGCGATCATCATTCACACTGCCGACCATGAGCGTCATCGTGGAGGGGTTGCTGTACTAAACGTATTTACTAATTTCGTGAAAGACGTTACAGCTATTGTTATTCCGAACCGCACTGCTGTCCACCTAAACCCTAAACCCTAAACCTTACAAACCCTCAACCGCGGATCTCCAAGAAGCACCATAGCTGGGAGCAGCGCTTAGCTTTGCAACGTCCGCATCGCTGTCCTAAGAACGAGGCTTCGAATTTGGGGTTTAGGGTCAAAGGCTTCGGTCTTCAGGTAGATTTAGGGCTGGCTCTGAACTCAGACTTTGGCTTTATGGGGATTTGTTTCGGACGGCTATCGCCACGACCTCAGCAACTGCGTCTACCATTATTCTTCTATTGCTGCTTCTGCCACCGCCTTCTCAATACACGGCTCGTATGCGTCCGCAGGGTTCAAATTCACAATTTAAAACCCCAACTTGGGGTTTCAGCGAATTCGTAATGCTGGATGCTCCAAAAGATTCATTCTGCCGCTACAGAAACAAGAGCTTCCCTAAAGCGATTGCCGTGCCGGAGCATTGGAACAGCATCATATGATCATGAGGATTCTTATAAGGCGACATTCTTCCAGCTTGGGCATGGATGGATCTGGTCATCGAGTTCAGCCGGCAATGCACCTTATTCTGGTTTAGGCATGGGCAATTTGCTAAGCGAAATCAGTCAGGCATTCAGGGATGGAGGTTGTTAGATCGTTGTTATGGTTGGGACGTGGATGCAATAATAGTAAGACTAACCCGATGATAGTACAATCGCCCAGTAATGGTATTAATAACCCAATAGTAGTAATAGTAAGAGTTAGTTATAGTTATAGTACTAGTAATAGTGATAATGCACTGCCCGGAACTGTGCACGCCGCAACAATGGTTTGGCACATGCTAGCTAGGCCGTCCCACAAGCAAGACTCAACCAGAGTTGCGACTCAGGCTGTCGGCATGACTCTTGAAACCCCTAGACATGACGCTATCACCTTAAATGGCATGTCTTCACCACGGCCGCATATGAGCCGGCGTTCCTCCAAAGCATAAAAACCTGAGTTTCTACGGCGGCCGCTTCTACTACTACTACTGTGTCCCTGCTGCTGCTACTGCTCTGTCTATATTGCTTCTGCTATTGCTTACTGCTGCTACTGTTGTTTCTGCTACAGCGACTGCGACTGAGACTGCCGCTACTTCCAATATGGTGGATGGAGGAAATCTTGCACCACTATATCCGGAGCAATTGTAATTCCAGGGGTTCCTCCATCCACAGTACAAATGATTGCTTCTACTGCTACCATAACCACGAGCACAAAAACATGACCACCATTATCCTGTTCTGAGGCTGCAATACAGCATTCCGCGCTTGCTTATGGAAAGTCAGCGCGCACGAGTTTGGAGAGAAGAGATGCTACACGACAAATGCCACGGCACCTATTATCACTATCATTACTAACGATTATTACTACTACTATTATATTGCTATATTACTGTCATTATTGTTACTACGATGAGATTACTACTATTATTATACATCATGCTTCAACTCTGACAGCGGTCCTACCTCCAGAGACTGGAGCTCCATAAAGGTTTTCCAGGCCGACCCTCTGCAGCCATGTGAGCTATACTCTAAACTTCTTAAAGGGGGTCTATAGGGGATTATATAGGGTTTAGGGATTAGGGTTTACGAATTAGGGTTTAGGGTTTAGGGTCTAAACTCCTTAAAGGGGGTTAGATGGTAGATTCATTAAATAGGGCACAAGAGAGCCCAAAATACTGTACTCCTTATCATAGGGACCCCAAAAAGGTACTCCTAATTTTGGGAAACCCTCACATAGGGGATCATATAGAGAACTACTACAGGCGATATTAAGGGGGATACTAGGAGTTTAGACAATGGCTCATGCGGCTGTTTGTCTGGGCACCACTGAAACCCGCGCCAGCATCTGCCTGATACATGGTGCAAGCATCTAAGCATTCTCATAATAGCAGCGGCCACTATTCAGAACGAGGGCATGAATTTCCTGGTTGCTGTTAAGGAATTCTTTTGATTACTATAATAAGGACACCCTGTTACTTACTGTATACCCATCATATGGCAATTTAGTTTAAGTTCTTTGACAGCAACCCAGATTTGGGCGATGCTCGCTCGGGGTTCTTGCTGCGAAGTTGTTTTCAAGAATTATCACGGTTTCGCGCGAACTTCACCTCCTTCGGTAGGCGTCAGCGAATGCTGCGTTCACCGGCGGGTGAAAGACATGTGCTGGCGACCGGGAAAATGGTGCAACTAGCGCATGGCCGAAATCCAGCAAGCTTCTTTTTATCGAACATGCGGCCTGCATTACTTGACTATATTGAGGACAACAGCTTTTGAGAGCTTTGTTCATGTCTGCCTTGTCAGGCATCCGAGCCCAACAGAAATTTGACATATTATAGGCCCCTGCCCATACTCCCTGGAATCCCTAAAACCTAAACCCCAAACCCTAAACCCTAAAGCCCTAAATAGCAGTTTCCATTTTATTTTCCATTATCCCAATATAACCCCAATACACCTTCAGCCATCCATTCCTCCATCCCAAGCAGTGGAGTCGGCCTTGGCTCCAGGCTTGTTCGGTCCACCCCCTGGACCCCAAGCTCTGGAGGCCGACCTGGAGTGCGCCAACTCAACTTGCTGTCTCTTAGTAGGGAATATGGGAATGGATTATATGAGCTACGGACTAAATTTTAGGTTGGGGGGAGCCTATAGGGGTATATATAGTGTTTTGGGAGGGACTTTTTAAGGGATATACTACAAATTTAGTCCAGGGCTCATGTGAACAGTAGTCTAAACTCTGGAGAGGGGGTTATATACGGGATTACAGAGGAGAGCATTTTAGGGATTATCAAGGGGGATACTAGGAGTCTAGATGATGGCTCATATTCCCTACTAAGAACCAGTAAGTCCAAGGGCCACTGTATGAAGATTGCGACTTTCCACAGCCCAACTGCTTCACAACAGTAATACTCGATGTCATACTAGCAATTGCTGGTAGAAATGGTATTAGTTATAGTAGTAGTTCCAGTACTACTACTAGTAACAGTCATGGCAACAGTCATAATCAGAATGATACACAGTAGGTGTCCCGCCTTCCAACTTGTGTAAAACCCGACGCCCGTAAACCCGAAACCCCTACACCCCAAAGCTCTGAACCCCCACACCCCTAAGCCCTAAACGCCTGAACCCCTACAACCCAAAACCCCAAACCCTACACCCTATGCATCCCATAACGCCCCCCTCATGACTCTAATTAAGGCCTTGACCTGAGCTACAGTCTAAACTCCTTAAAGGGGGGTTATATAGGGGATTCTATAGGGGATTACTATAGGGTTTATTAAGGGGGATACTAGGAGTTTAGACTATAGCTCACCTGGTAAACGAGGTACCTGCGTAACATTTCCAAGTCTCTGGTCGCAGCCGGCGTCACTGTGAAGAGCTCAGAGATTTAGAGGTTTCCCCAAAATTAGGGGTACCTTTCAAGGTGTCCATAGGGATTTTCTAGGGTATATAATATAAGGTATATAGGGGGGATATGGGGATTAGGGTCTCCCAAAATTAGAGGTACAAAGTTGAGGGTCCCCAAAATCATGATCATAGCATTCTGGGGTCCATATTGGGGCCCCCTGTTTGTGGAAACTAGCAAGTCTAGAATCGTAGCCGAACTGTCTTGCGTAGTTGCACTGATCCCGTCCCTTCAAATACCCTCATATTTATGATTAAGGGCGCGGGGGCTAAATTAGTTATTTTGAGGAGGGGACTCTTGGTAAAGGAAGCTTAAGTCTGCGTCTGGACCTTCAACTAGTTGGTACATGCCTGATACTTTAAGAAAAGGCAGCCTCCTTCGAGCGGAGTTTGCTTTCTGGCATCAACCTGTTCGAAAGCATCCCCGACAGAATCCTACAGAAGGAGCTCCATCATCAGCTTGTCTTCAGGTTATGTGCAGGACCCCTGAAGCCTCTCCCATTGCTCGAAATCATCATATCTTTCCCACTACCAGGCCTAAGTACCCCTGGTGCTGCCGTATTTGCAAGCTTCTCAGGATCCCCCTGAGGTCTTCTGAGATGACTGCAGCCCGGAAGGCCTGTACAGAAATCATGGCTGAGGGAAGCAAGAGCTCTCCCCCGCAACGTAACTTGTGGGGTTAGGCAGAATGGAAGGCTTGCTCTGTGGCGTGGCCATTCCTTTTGCACAATGGGTGCTTGTGCCCTGGGTTACAAGAAAACGTAGCAGGCTTTCGATGATGCAGGGCACCCACCCCATGTACAAGGAACATCAGGGAATCAGCTAAGATGTTGCTACAACTGCCTCAGTGAGTCGTGCATGAGAGGCAGCCGCAGCAACACGGGTTTTAAGGGGCATGCCGCTGTGCTGCCTTTGGCATGTGCCAAAACGGTCGCCTGCTGAGTCTCAGACCCATCACCAATCCTTTCGCCTGCGCTGATAAGAGCTCAAAAATACGCGGGGCAAGGGGTTAGCATGAAAGAATTCGATTCTTTACTATTACGGGACGATGAATAAGATTCAAGCATTCCATCAGGCAGTCCGGATACGCAGCTGGCCTAGTGAATACATCACTCGCTGGGCGCCATCTTAACTGTTTAATGATGCAGGAGCATGCTGAGTTTTCGCTCAACAATGAGCCTGCAAAGGCATCTGCCTGGATTCGTTCAAAGATGCGCTGCTTCTGCTTGGCAATGGTCGACTTTCCAGTATAAGCAGATTTTCAATATGTGCAGTGCCGCGGTCCCTCATATTCATGTAGTAGTTTCCAGGGACTGTGAATAAGCATGGCGTTGGGGGCTAAATCCCCTTCTTGGGTTGAACATTCATTGTGGCAGGTGGATGAGGAGCAGGTCAGGCATGCCATGGCGGATCCTGAAATTCAGCAGATTCTGCATGTCCGCGACCCAGTTGTTTGGGGCGCTGGGGTTTAGGCTTTTCGGGGTTGAAGTTGCCATCAGTAAGGTCGACCTTTTGAGGGGTCAAATATGGGGACTCTTTTTCTGAGCGTCCTATTGTGTAGCAGCCGCTTCATCGGCAGACAGCTCAGCTAGCTCGTTCACATTTGCACTCAACAGTGCTTTGGGGCTGATTTCCTTTGGGAGCTTCTTCGACGCGGAGATGTGGCGTCGTGTGTGATGGGCATGTTTTAGCACGTGGCTGCATTCCTGTCTGCGTTGGCGCCAGGACCCTCAGATCAATATGTTCCTGAAGGAAATGCAGAACAACCCGCAAGAAGCGCAGAAGCAGATGCACTCGGACAGGGGCGAAAAGGGGGATGGGGTCGTGGGGTTGTCATACAATTAGGGGATACTGCCAAATTCGTTGAGTCGACCTGATCGCGGCCTTTGGTGCCACCTGCTTTAGCTTAATTTGATTTGCAGGACCCAAAGCTCCAAGAAGCCGTGTCCAAGCTGATAGCCGCCGGCATCATCCGCACGGGCTAGGCGCGCAGCTTGGCCTGCCAGCCGTGTCCACGATCGGCCATGACTAAGCAGATCTCCAAGATAATGATATCAGTATTAACCAGAATGATACTTACTATAACAGTAATAGTAGCAATAAATAACTTAGTAAAAACAAGAATAATACTACTACTAATAATAATAACAATAATATTCGTAAAAGTAATAGTAATAAGAATATAGTAATAGTAATGATAATAGTAATAGCCTCCATCCGCAAGGCCTTTGGAGTCTGCTAGAGCTTTCGTTATGCGGCTTGGCAACTTCCCATGCCTCCCTGACAAAGCTAATTTCGTTTGCTCGCTTATGCCATGCTCTCAAGCTCATCTTGCGCAGTTGTCTGCACTCCTACAATATATATGTACAGCAGTATAGAAACTTGCTGCATATTAGGGTGAGTCACCAGCAACACAGAGAGCATGGCGCGAAGAACTTGATTGAACGTGCATAATTCCAAGGCGTGATGTAGTCCCTACATGCGTTCTGCGAGCGAGAAGATTGCTACATGAGCAACGGCACCGAGCTACCAATCATCACTGAGGACACCTAACAATCGGCTACATCACACGCATTGAGTCGGTTTCTTTAGGGCGAGTCGATCCGTGGGCCTGCCAAACACTGGCGATGTCGAGCCGTAATGAGCATCAGAAGAAGTGAAGGTCACAACAGCCACATCACCTTGACTAGTCGAATGGCGAATTGGCAGGCCCACCCCCAGCACGAGCAGAAAAACGCCACTAGTACAGGTGCCTTGTGATCTTGGCTCTCCCGCAGTGAAGCCGCAGTAGCGGCTGATCTCAGTTTTGCTGAACAGCCCAGCACGATACCTCAGCGGAGCCGGGCTACTGATGGTGCAGTGCAGTATATTGGAAGTCAGCACGTTAAGAGTAGTCAAGTTTTGCTTGTCGTTTGCCAGTGCGTAATTGTTTGGTCCCTGCCTAGGGGAAGCCTCAGCGGCTACCCAACTGGCATCTGGAGTCAAAAGACCAAAGACCATCACTCGAGGTCGCGCGCAAGAAGGTGCCGACTGCAAAAAGTGGAAAGGAGCATGCTGACGGCACCGGACAAGAGCAAGACCCCTTCGGATTTCTTATAATCTTGGCTGATGCTTTTGCATAGTAATTATGGTAACAATAACAATAGTAATGATAGTAATAGTAATAGTTATTAGTACTATTCTTATTACTATTATTGTTACTAGTATTAGTATTTTATGCAGGTCCAGATGGAGATCAGCAGAGTTTGTTGCTCCAACGCGTAATATGGGTTCAGTTAACGCTGAGCTAGACTTACTGATGCTTACTGGTGGTTAGTAGCCCAATCTTGGAGTACTACACTTTAATACTTTTTTGGTTCCTGGGTTCTTGTCATAACAAATTATACCTAAAAATTCTATACTTTTTGTCTGGTGTGTACTCCAAACTAGGGTTAGCCGGGAATGAATGAATATAATCTACGAACTGTTGGTGCTTCATTCAATGTAGGGACTACCACAGGTCCAGTCCTCCAGCCACTGCTAACCAACAATATGCAAACCCTCAACCCCATGTATCCCTATAAACTCCCATTTTCCATTTCATTTTCCAGTTGCTTTTCCTGTTGATTCTCCACTACTGCCGTACCGTCCCTATGTCTATAACCCTTTGGAGGGATCTAGGGCCGTTTCATTTTCCACTTGGTTGTCCATTGGCATTTCCGCTTGATTCTCCGGCTTTAGGGTAGTATCCCAAAAAAAACAGTATATCACTATATGAGCTATAGTCTAAACTCCTAGCATTGCCTCTTAACAATCCCTATAGTACTCCACTACATAATCCCCTATATAACCCCCTTTAAGGAGTTTAGACTACGGTGACATTTTTAAATAAGTGGAGGGCGGCCAACCCCAAGGTGCCATGGAGGTAGTACAGAAGATCTATTTTAATCCGGATGTTTTCCTGTTTAGGCTCAATTCCGGATATGTAAGTCTTGGGCGGCCGGACGTCATGCTTTGCGAGGGCAGTATAATATACCTGTTCGGCTGTTTACGTGTCCGGATGTTTGACAAGCGTCGCTGTATGGCTCACATGGCAGGTATCTCTGAACCCTAAAAGCCTAAACCCTAAACTATATTGACCCTGAACCCTAAACGTTGCTCCGGCACGGCTATTTGGGCTCTGTCTGGGCTAGGCTTAGTCCCACGGGCCAGCGCCATGTTCCGCGTGAAGGCCCCTGACAACTTGCAGAGCGCAAAAAGTATAGTCTTTTAGGGTTTTGGGTTTGGGGTTTAGGGTTTAGGGATAGAACAGGGTTTAGGGTTTAGGGATAGAATATGGAATTTTCCAAAACCACAATACGGTCCACGTATACCGTGTATTCATTCTTTCTACTCCCTAAACCCAAATCATTTTGGAGGATCCTAGCCTTAGCAGAGACTTTGCCCACTTCGAGGAATTGTGCTTTCCAAAGTTTGATCCCCCAAATAGTAATTTTGTTGCTATTATTGCTATGTTCTTATTACTATTGCTACCATATTATTATTGCTTTATTATTACGATCATGACTACGCAAGGTCAATATGGACGTCGCTATCTCCTGCTAACTTGTTAGCCCTGACACGGCGCCTGTGCGCCGACAGGAGGTCGAAGCGGTTCTCGCCAAGGTCGTAACTGCAGCTTGGCTCAGATGGGGTTTCCCAAAATTAATTAAGAGTACTTTTCTGAGGTACTCATAATGAGGGCTATATATAGTACATTGAGATCTATATTGGGGTCCCCCCGAATTCAGGGAAACTCACAGTTTCCATTCGGATTGGCATGATGCTGTATCACTGCTGCGAAGTTATTTGCACTTGCTTCCCCACATGGCTGACATGAAACATTAGATAGGCCTAGGTAAGGCAGGAATCGTAAAAATGCAGATCCAGTCCGTGTGCAAGTTGTTCACTTGCATTGCACCATGCACTCAGGATGAGATCACGACTCTTGGCTTGGCAACTAAACCCTAAACCCTGGACTCCTTGGACTCCTTGGGGAAAAACATCAACATTGCTCGGTAATAGTCATCGTAGCCATAATCATCAGGGGTTAGGGTTTAAGGTTTTAGGGTTTAGGGGTTTAGGGCATAATCATCACATCATAATGGCACTCGGAGAGGCAGGGGGTCTTAGTACGGAGGTGAATAGGCCCTATATGCCATGTGGTAACCCTAGTCATCACCATTATTATTAACCTGCGTGTTAAGTCCCCCTCACCCTCCTAGGAATGATGGCAATGACAACTCAAACCCTAAACCCTAAACATCCCTAAACCCCAAATCCTGAACCCTAAACCCCAAGCCAAGGAACATAATGATCATTGATGAAGGGGGAGGAGTGATCGCGGCTGCGAAGCCGAAACAGGCAAGCGCTAAGCTGGTTCAGGGTTTAGTGGTTAGGGCTTAGGAGGGTTTAGGGTTTAGGGTTATATGGGGGTTTAGTTAGGGTTCAGGGTCAAATTGGGGTTATATAGGGGTTATATTGTGATAATGGAAAAGGAAAGGGAAGCTGCTATTTATGGTTTAGGGATGTTCATGGTTCAGGGCTTAGGGATGTTTAGGGTTTGGGGCTGAGGGATCTTCAGGGTTTAGGGTTGAGGGGAGGTTGCCAAGGATTGGGGGTTTAGGGCGGGGGGGGACTTTGTCAAAATGATGGTGGGTATTCTCAATATTAGGGGCCATGTTATACACCCCAAAAGCGGCCATAATTGTTGACAAAGAGCACATTCTCCCGTACGAGAAGCTGCCCTACCCCAAACACCGAACCCCAAGAATTCAAGAATATTCATAGCAGGAATGTGATAGGGATATACCTACCAGAGTCCTTGTCTTCCTACTATTATCCTACTATATTCTTGGGGTTCCTTGTTTGGGGTCCCCAAGAGAGTCCTTTAAACGGGACGGAAGGTAGACAATTCTGGACTGGCTGTGATCTCTGGTGCCGCAGCCTTGGATAGGATTGCGATGCCTTGGCAGGATTTCGTTTCAAACGAAGGTCCCTGTTGGGAGTCCTTATTAAAAGGATTAAATCAGATCATCATATGTTGGGGTCTCCCTACTTACAGACCGACTTTTACCGGTCTGTGCATCTGGGCTGGGGGGATATAATGATGATAGTAATGAGTCGTCGCCGTCGTTGTCCTCATCGTAGCTTAATAGTAATTGATGATAGCAGCAAAAATACAATAGCAAAAGAGACATTGGTTAGGAGGACCCCCCACCCTGTAATAGTGGTATATGAGGAATATAAGAGGACCCTAATATAATCCCTCTTATCCCCTATAGTCACTATTACTGGGTGGGGGGTCCACCTAGGACGTTGGTAACAAATCATTGCAGTAATATTGGGGGAAAGACAGGGATCCGGCACCCCCGTGGTAGTTTAGCGCATGCGCGCTTCCCAAAGGAGGGGTCCCAGTCATGCAGCCAAAATGGTCCGTTTAAGAGGAACCCCTAAACCCTAAACCCTCAACTCCCCAAACCCCCTAAACCCTAAACCCCCCGAACCCCCTAAGCCCTAAACCCTAAACCCCAAAAAGGCACCCCAATCCCTGGATCCCCTGACCTGCAAATTCCTAGGCACTGGCCGAGTTCAAAATTGCGGGCGAGTATGTCTCTCCGGACTATATTCCGAAATTCGAGGACACCGTAGCAGTCCTAGTCTGGCTTTGCAGCTCTTGATAACCTCAAGAGGCCAGAGTGCCACCCTCTGTTTCCGAAAGAAGTACTGGGATAACGACAGGAAGGAAGCAAGCTTTAACTGAGCCAGGACGCCCTTTTTACGTGCGACAATGCCATGGTGGCTTGTTCTACATTTCTGCAGCCTGGCACTCCTTAGATTGTGCTCGCCTAGGCCATGCTTGTATTTTCCATATAACGAAAGGAAATCAAACGGAGAAGGAATTGGAAAATGAAATGGAAACTGCACCTGTATAGGCGATTCTAGGGGTTAAAGTGAGCAACGCGTG